TGAACCATAGCAGATTATACGATGCTGCACATCGTTTCGTACAAAATTTACTGAACCTTCATTTACACTACGAAACTATAAGAAGTTCTGTATAAAGTACACCAAGCCCTTACTGAGAACACGGAATTGCCCAGAGTTTGGTATTAAGCCTACTGAACCTTTATCAGTTTCGTTAAACTATAAATAGTTTAGCTTAGCATTTACTGAAACATTACAAATTTTATAAAATCTTTAGCAGTTTCGCATAAACTATACTGAACCATTGCAGATAATTAAAGGCTGGATATCGTTTCGTATAAAATTGACGAAACCTTTTTTTCCAACTTGCAGAATTATAAAAGGTTCTGTATGAAATATACTAAACTTTTGTGAAACTGATGAGACTACCATTCGTTTAGTGCAAAATATACTGAACCATCGAATGGTACAGGATTCCATCAAAAGTTCAGTATGAAATACACCGAACTTTTGGGACTGCTATGAAATTCTGAAGTATTCGTGTAGAACTTACGAAACCTTGAAATGAAGTACGAAACTATCGGTCGTTCGCTACTAATTTTACGAATCCATCAGTTAGTCTACGGAACTCTCAATAGTTGCGCAAAAAATCTACCAAACTTTTGAAGGATGTACAAAGCCATCGATCGTTTCGTGTGACTTATACCGAACCTTTGGCTAATATGCAAAACCATCAAGCGTTCCATATAAAATATTCTGAACCTTTTGACAACCTTCGAAACCATCAACTGTTTCGTATGAAATATACGGAACCTTCATAGAAGTTACGAATCCTTGGATAGTTTCGTGAAAAATAGACGAAACCTCTACTGAAGTTACGAAACCATTGATGGTTTCGTTGACATATTACGAAACCGGCAGATGGTTTCTTTTGAGAACTGCTAAACCTTACTAAATCTACTGAACTCAAAAAAGTTTATTAATATTACAACGAAACTTTTTTTATTGTGCTGAACCTAAAAAAGTTCGGTGAAAAAATGAGAAACCTTTTAAGTTCAGTGATAAACCCATTTTTTTTCGGTGTGCGATCGGCCCGAACATGGCAATATATTCTCCTTATAATAAGAGGGAAAGGTCCCTTGCAAGTTTTTTTGGCACCCCTAATACCCTAGTTCTGAGTGCAGGACTTGAAGTGGACCCACACATATACCCATCAATCGATAGAGCACCTTCAATAACCCTATGATCGGCCCGAACATGCCTATATGTTGTCCTTATAATAACTGAAAAAAATCCTCTTGAAATCTGATTGGTCGAAATGGACCAATGAGAAAAAAGAATTTCATTCTCCATTCACCGTTTTGTTTTGTGCCATACTAGTGTATACAAGTATCTCCACAAAATCGTTTCATCCTTTCTCATCCAATCACTTTACATACTGGGTAAGTACTTTTCACCCTCTGCTATAACAGATCGCCTAGATTTGACATCGCGCTGTTACGCGAGGTAGAGGCTCACACATATACCCATCAATCGATAGAGCACCCTCGATAACCCTATGATCGGCCCGAACATGGGAATATGTTGTCCTCATAATAAGAGGGAAAAGCCCTTTTCAAGGTTTTTGGGGACCCTTGATACCCTAGTTCTCAGTGAAGGACTTGAAGGGGACCCACACATATACCCATCAAGCGATAGAGCACCCTCCATAACCCTATGATCGGCCCGAACATGGCAATATGTTGTCCTTCTAATAAGTGGGAAAGGTCCTTTTCAAGTTTTTTTGGGACCCCTAATACCCTAGTTCTGAGTGAAGGACTTGAAGTGGACCCGCACATATACCCATCAATCGATAGAGCACCCTCGATAACCCTATGATTGGCCCGAACATGGCAATATGTTGTCCTTATAATAAGAGGGAAAGGTCCCTTGCAAGTTTTTTTGAGACCCCTAATACCCTAGTTCTGAGTGAAGGAGTTGAAATGGACCCACACATATACCCATCAATCGATAGAGCACCTTCAATAACCCGATGATCGGCCCGAACATGGCAATATGTTGTCCTTATAATAAGAGAGAAAGGTCCCTTGCAAGTTTTTTTGGGACCCCTAATACCCTAGTTCTGAGTGAAGGACTTGAAGTGGACCCACACATATATCCATCAATCGATAGAGCACCCTCGATAACCCTATGATCGGCCCGAACATGGCAAT